GTGTGTGTGTGTGTGTGTGTGTGTGTGTGTGTGTGTGTGTGTGTGTGTGTGTGTGTGTGTGTGTCCTTTTGGGACCATTTGAACTTTAACCAGCACAACAAAAAAGACAAGTGTGCATTTGTACAGTGTTGTGCTTTGTGTTGTTATTGTGTTTTTTTTTTTACTGTTAGTAAAATGCATGCCATGCATTTTAATAACACTGCAGTAAGTGTAAAAGGTGAGCAGTAGCAGCAACAGTAGCAACATTAGTGAGCAATAAGTAGAGAAGTGGAACAGTGAGGGTGTGGGCCTCAGAACAGAAGCACTTACCAAAGGACTCTGTGGTTAAAAAGATACAAAGAGAAAAGAACAGCATAGACATGGCATTATAATCGGACCATTGGTTACACAGATGTGTAGACTTTGTTGAAACATTTTGAAAAAAGTAGTGGAATTCCACAGAACTTTGAATACACATAGCTTTACACTTAAAACAATCTAAACGTTAACTGCATTCATTGACAGAAGAAGTTGAGCACCCAGTTGGAATGATGGAAAATGATATTCAAATTCAAATGATTACATATCGAACCAAGTATGATCAAGTGCTGGTAATGCAGCTCTGTGTCTGGTGACACTTACTTACTCTTTTGATTGACTGTCAGATGCTCTGGTCAATATATGCTCTCTACTAGACTATGCGTTCACACTGCAGGTCTAAAGCTCAATTCCATCTTTTTTGCAAAAATCCAATATTTTAGTGCAAACGTTCCCATTATTTTTAAATGCGACCTCCATCAGAGTAATAAGTGAACTCTATACAGAACTACGGGCAGACAATCATGACCAAGGTGTTGTCACATTTAGCTTGCTGTGAGACGATGAAATAATTATCTGACATGCTTGTTTAGTTCACTGTTTACATTTGAACCTGCCTCTGACCGCATGCTCCGGTGCAGCATTTTATTTTTGGAACAAAACAACATGATAAAATTAAAGTATCAATGGATTTACTTCAGTATCGATGCGATACTCGAACGATTTTCCTGTGCATTATCAGTCATCCAGGACATGGAAAATTAAAACAAAAAAAGGTTGAAGTAACTGGACTTCTGTTCTGTATTTGAAGACATGTGGAGTTACAAGATTCATCTTTATTTTTATTGGATCGATCCGCTCACCCACACTTGTGGATGCAATGCATCATGAGCGGTCCTACTGCAGTTGCTTGGAAAAAACATTCGGTAAGTATCTGATTCAGTACCACATACTGAAAAAGTCTGGGTCAGATTTGAAACAAGTGGATTTGTCACATTCAGAATGTCATGAAAACATCTGTTATGGGTTGCATTTGCCTGCCGTATAAACGTAGCCTTAGTTCCATATCCATTTAGGTATATATGGATCCATATAGGTATATATGGATGTAGGGCAAATCCTTAGGTCTACTTACAAGAGGTAATTCAGTACAAAACAAACTTTGACAATGTGCAACCTCTGCAGGTCAATCCACATCTGTTATATTCAGCCCTTGAGAGATCTGCACTGGGTCAGAACTGACAGTTGTGCTCATTATAGCCAGGTTACGTTGGGGGTAATTAGGGGACCTGGCTGTCCATGGGACAACCTCAACATGACACAACCAGTTGAAAGTCAGGTATTTTTTAAAAAAAAGAGAACTGAAATGCTGTCTTAGCTGGGAGAAGACGTAGTTACAAGATGTCACTGGTGATACTTTCAAGGTTCCCCTGAATAATGGCTCTCCACACCGTGATGCCAGGAGTAACATCAGCGTGTTTTTCCACAACATTGAAGGGATTGGTCCTCTCCTCTTGGTAATACCATATGCACACACAGTGTTCATCTGTGGTCATTCAGAAATCTAATTCATCACTGAACATAATATGTTGCTGCTAGTCTTTCCCCACTGGTTACAGGACCAGTCCAAATACAGCCATCTCTGCTCTGGTGGTAATAGCAACCCACACAGGGGGACGGTGAACCCTTAGTTCACCTGATAGTGTGGGACGATAAGATGTTGCAAAGTGTGTACTTGGCAGGGGCAGATCATTGGGTCAGTAATTCTTGGCACATAACATGACAATCCTCTTACGGTGTGATCAAACAAACCCACAAATGACCTGTATCAAGTTCAAGCAAGTTGCTGATAACAAGTGATAATGACTCACTATTTTGACTGACTGTAAGATGCTCTAGCAATTGCCTGATAACACTATTGCTCCACTTAACCCTATTTCCCTCTCTGGGGCATGTTCTAGACATATGATCTCTTCCTTATTCAAATCATTTACAAACTCATTGCCATTCTGCATGTGTGCCACACTAAGTCCAAATTTTACCATTCCTTCTGGGTGCTTAACTTCTTTTTTAAGTGTGTAATCTGCAATCAGCATATACTGTATTAAAATTAGCTAACATGTCAAATATGTAACATTTATTAAAGGAACATATTTTTTTTGCAATAAAAAAAGACCCAGAGCGAAGTACTGAGGATTAAGCTAAATGATAAATAATTAAAGCCGAACAAGGACCAAAACAAAGAGGTTTGTCATCCATAATGAAGTTAGAAAGTTGGGTCTGTGATTACAAGAAAAATGGGGTTTGGGGAATAGAGCTGATCCCTGGAGGAAAGGGGAGGAAGAAGCAGAAAAGGGGACTTTAAGACAAGTTGGGACTGTACACACTACTGTGGCTATCAAAAACAATGGGCTGAAATAGACTGAGAGTCACTTTCAGGAAAATTAGTTGGTTTAACACATTCTGTTAATATGTTTCCTTTAAACCCATGAAACCAGTTTCAGGAAGTGAGTTTTACATTCAGACAGACACACTTGGCAATGAATAAGAAAAAAATGAAAGGTTATTTGAATGTTTAGTCACAGCAGTGAGCTACACCAAAGAGGTCATTCCTTGCATACATATCAACATCAGTTAACTTTAGTGTGGAGACCAAAGAGTAAAATATTGGATTTTAACAAGAGATATATAGAAAATTGATGCTTCTCAGACACAATTTAATGAGTCCATTAGTTAAAGATCTAACTTTTTGTGACGGTGATATGCACAGGAAGACCTCAGAGAGTCTGGAGAAACATTTGGAGTTTGCTTTAAAAGGTCTTGAAGAGTTTTGAGGGGTTGGCAATCATACACAGCCAACTCATAAGACAGCAGCAGCAGAGTAGGACAGCTGAAAAACACAGCCAGTGACCATGACAGGAGGAGGGTGAAACAGAAATAAGGCAAGGGGTGAAAGTGGGTAAGACTAAAAGGAAAATTTGTGGGACGTAAAAGTGAAATAAAAGTCTGAGGACAAGATGACGGGGGGACAAGATGGGGATTAAAAAACATAGTCTGGGAGGCAGGACCCTGGGGGAAGAAATAAAAGTAGGGATTCAGAATGAGCAACAAAAAGGGCTAAAACCAGTGTTCACCTGAGCGGAGCTGCTTGATTCGTCTGTTATTATTGGACGTGTTGACTGGCAGGAAATCCTTGAACCAGGTTATTTCTGGGTCAGGGTTGCCACTGGCAGCACAGAGCATGGTAGCGGTCCGTGAACGCTCCACCACTTTCAGCTGGGGGCCCATATCAATGGTGGGAAACCCTGGGGGCAGTTGGTCCTCTGGAAAACATTAAAACACACAAACTAGATTTTCAACCTGGTAGGAAACAGCTTCATGTCTCAGCTTTTTCATCAATCATTCCACTCCGTTTTAAACAGCGAATCACAGTCATTTGGTCTTAGAGCTGTTTCAGATCAGTAGAAATTGTGAAATTGTTAAAGGTAATGAGGATTTTGCTTGTGACAAGCCTACATTTTTCCCTGCTTCTCTCTTCCTGCTTTATCATCTCTTTGTTTACAACACTGTCCATGTGCTTCAGAATCACTGTTACCACAATCTAAAGTGGGCGTAGGTATCAAGGACCGTGGGAAACCATTGGACTGGCTAAATATATTATTGATGTGCAGAATTTAAATGCACAGCATTTGGATCGATTCAGCATGTGATTTATTGCAGTCCAAGCAATCCTTTGCTATAATGCAATTGCATACATTGATATTATAATGATGATAAACTTTTGATTTAATGTACAACCCATGTGGGACTCGTTAAAGTTGTCAATAAAATCAGCTGGATATTTTGGTGATAAATATTCTAAACATCTGCTTTAGTTTTATTTATTACTTCTTTAGGAGATCAGTGCCAAACTACTGATGCTGAAACCAAGAATCACAATGAGCAGAGCTTATGATTTTGGTGACTTAATGTAGAATGGATTCTTGTTTTCAGTGTTTTTTAACCTTTTAATCCAAAGGATTTGTCATTTACAAAAATAAACTTTGCACAAAACATAAGGAAGTTTGTGTTTGGTATTTCTTTGTTCTATTAGTGCTTCATGGCAATAAATCCTATGACTGGCATCTGACTGGCAGCACTTGGGGGAACCAACTCAAAACAAAAGTTGACAGCAACAGCAAAACAAGCTGTTTGACAAGGCAGAGAAGATTTGGCAAATGTTTCACGAGTGCAACCCACATACTCAGCTCTACTGCTCATCTCACAAATGCATGTTCCTTACAAATGTGGCACCATTTAAAAGAGAAAACAGGCTTTTAAATGGTATAAGATTTATTACCAAGAAGCAACAAAAAATGATCTACCAAATACAAATTTCCTTACATTTGTGCTAAGTTTAATTAGGAGAGAAGTGCCAAAAAGCATATTGATGGGAAGAGTAATAATAATTACTAAGCGAAACAACTCCAGTAGATGCATCCCAGCATTCCTGCTTCTTAAGTGTTCACTGTACTGTGTGAAGCTATCAGTAAGTGTTTTGCCACGGCACAAAGAAACCCCCTCCAGAAGAAAACCCATCAGAAAATACAACTCTTCCTGAAGAGCAAAAAGTGGCACCACAGCAATCCTCTGTTTTGCTGTGCAATTTATATCTTCATTACATACCTTAAATTTTGAAAGTATATATTTTTAACTAAACTATTAATGTATTTACCTTCCTTATACCGAAGGAAACATGCTTGGGAAAATATTTACTGTAACTTTTAAAAACAGGCCAAAACCTGCAAGGTTTTAAAGAAAATACAGGAAGGATATATGTTTTGAAAGGCTTGAGAAAGACTATTGACAAGTCCAGTACTGAGGTCCAACAGAACGAGTAACATTCCACTCTACCTGACAATCGTACCAAAGCTTCAGGCTATTGCTGTTCGAATAAAATTCAAGTGAAAATCAATTCACTTTTCTGCCGGGAATGACGAGCAAATGAGCTGCACTTTACGGAGCTCTGTCTTTTTCACACAGAGCGCATGGGAAGTCCAACTCTCCCATAAAAAAGACCGTTAAAGACACGTTCGCTGAGACTTGCACCTTTTGGGGATGGTAAATCACAAGTGAATTCACAGACATCAGTGGCAATGAAATCAAACATGGAGACTCATTCCACAATGATGCAGAAAATCTAAGTTCAACTTCATTTACCTAAAAGGAGAGATTTAATAAGGATTGCTTTAAAAAGATGGTGGAAGTCAGACATACAGAAACAATACCTTATCCATAACTAAAATAAAAAAGGTCCAGAGAAAATGTAGTTTTTCAAAAACTTCTTAACTTTCTTCTCAACTTTGTTGCAGTTTGAAACAGCAAAGTAAAATATCAGACCCCTGAGACATCGATACCAAAGTAGTATAAAGACTGACACAGTAAGGAAAAGTGAGATGAGCACAGTGAGTGTTCCTGCACATGTTTGAGCTGTATTTGATCTAGAAGGCAGTTTATTTTTAATCCCAACCAGTTCTTTTTTTTTATATACCCAGGATCCCCTGTGACTTTATCCCTCTCCACCACACACAACCTCATTAACGGGAAATCCTAGCGCTGAACCTCACCAAGGAGATGCTAATTCTGGTAGTAGTGCATCGAACCGTAGCCGACGGGTCGTGAGACACTGGATCAACGGGCGCGTGTGTGGCCTTTTAACAGCTCCGATTTCAATCAATCACGAACGGCTGACAAATGGAAACATGGATATAATAAACTAAGAAGAACAAGATGAGGAGGTGTTTGTGTACAAATGTGTCTCAGAGAGAGAAGACGCGAAGAAAGTGGGCAGAAGTGCAAGAAAAGAAATGAAAGAGACTGGGACAAAGAAAGAGTGACAGTAAGGTAAAACGGAGAGAACAAGAATGAAATAGAAAGGCAGGAAGAAGGAGCACAAGGAACTTTACACAGCATAACAATCGTGATTCTCTTAGCTTTCATTATGCAAACACTTACTTCAAAGCCAGCCCCTTGTAGGCAGCAATAATGCATTCTATTTCATCTACCTAGGGTGGGACACTGCACTAAAAAGTGCACAGTTAGAATCTCTCTCTCTCTCTCTCTCTCTCTCTCTCTCTCTCTCTCTCTCTCTCTC